GCAACGTGAAGCGACCGACTAGTGGCCAGTGAGATGCAAGTGGGTGCCGACATCCGGGCCTAACAGGGTGTGAATTTTATTGCCACCAGTGCTGCCGCCGCTGCACATGCCTGGACCAGCCCCCAGTTCATTGTTGTCGTGGCCATGCTAGCGGCTGCTGCATCAGCAGCCAGCGAAACGTTGCCATCAGAATCATTGTGCTGCATCCCTCTCGTACATGTGCTTTCGTTCAAGCCAAGGCTGCGTAAGGATAGCACCCACCACCCAAAAGCCACAAGCCACAAGGAATCAGCCAGGCGAGTGATTATAATCAGCCAGGCATTTACATTCATACTTGTTGAAGTCCCCTTACACCACCACAGATTGCGCGTCACGTCACGCTATCGGCAAGCAGGTATGTATGGTCACACAGATATGCATGGTCACACAGATGTGTATGGTCACACAGATATGTATGGTCACACAGATATACACTTCCTGGCCACATGCCCGGGAAAAATAAAGAGCTAATGAGGCGGGCATGCGTTGGCTGTAGATGTGGTGTATACGTATTTGGCCCAATCGTCGGGGGTGCGTGTGTACGCACGTCCTGTACGATTTGTACGTGTACGGTGTACGGTGTACGCCAAATGCTTGCCACGCGCGAAGCTGCATGTCTGTGTGGGTGTGGCGCAGTGGTTAGCGCGTAGGTCTCATAGCTGTTATCGTGCTGTGACTTGGACTATCCTAAGGTCGAGTGTTCGACACCCTCCACCCACAACCGCTCGTGTAGCTCAGTGGAAGAGCACCCGTTTAATAAGCGGGAGGTCTCGAGATCAAAACTCGACATGAGCAGCACATCGCTCTTGCGCGGGACATATCCGCTCTGGCTTTTCCATAACATGATCCATCCTGGTGTGTACGTGTGCGTGTATGTATGTGTGTGTACGTGTACACGTTGGTGCATGTGTACATGGGGTATTTGGTCGTAGCTAGCCAGAACATGCACGACGGCGCGTCATTGTGTCTTTTTTTTACGTTTACGTTGCGGCTCGCTGGCTTCGTCGCCCGGCGCCAGCTTTCTTCTATTTTTCGTTCGGGAGCGCTGCCTTCGTCGTCGCGTGGTTCGTTTTTCGCGTCGTCGTCGTTTATTGTTCATTTCTTTTCGTTCTGGACCGTGCACCGCACACCGCGTCGTCCCGGACTGCACTGCTCCACGCCTGGGCCCGCGCAATGCGCCCCCGAGCATCGCCGTGCACCGCTTCGGTGTCCGCGCCGCACCGCACTGCACCGCGTTGCACCGCACCGCACCACACCTGGACCCGCGCAATGCGCCCCGGAGCATCGACGCTCACCGCTTGTGGTGTGCGCTAGCTCCGACACTAATTGGGAACCGCGGTCGCCGGCTCGATCCCGGTGCATGAGTTGTTGTTGTCTTTTCATTCGGGACCGCGCACTGCACCGCACTGCACCGCACCGCACCGCGATTTAACACGCAAATCGCAAAACATTGGCTGCACCGCACTGCGCAATTTGACATGCGCCGACTCGCGCATTTTAACGCGCAACCCACCACACAACTCGACGTGCAATTAAACATGCAATTCAACGCGCAATTTAATGTACACCGAACCACGCAATTTGACGCGCACTGAAGTGTGCAGTGCTTGTCCAACGTTGTCCGTGTAGCCTGTACGGCATTTTGTGAAGCTGTTTTGTTCACGGACGTTGGCTCGCTACAATATAATTGCACCGCATATATACGCATCCGGTTTACTTATTTTCAGATACGTACCGCGGCTGAGCGGTTGCTTTAAAGCTGGCGGTTGTAAACTAGTTGCGCCGCCGACATAAGCTGCACGGTATTTCGCGAAGCTGGCCTCTTAACATGCATCGGCTCGCTAACCGATTTTCGCCAGACGACAACATCTCGGCACATCAACGGTTGTTCATCACCATCAATGGCTATTCATCGCCATCCTCGTCTGCACGTCCTACACGCTACAAGGTCAGTCCACGTTGCAAAGCAGTAGCAATGAATAGATTCGACGACTAGCAGTGAGTAGAAACGATAGCAAGAATAGCAAGGAATAGAAACACAACGCGCACCGAAGTGTGATGCGCAACACAACCTGACCCGCGGGACGGTTTGCGCGGTCGGTCGTGTACCTTTTTTTTTTATTTGGATGGAGGCCGCGCACCCCTCTCGCCATGTCTCACCTCCTTATGCTTCGTCCTACTATATCATCATGCTGACTCTGTCACCGTGTGGGAGCTGCAGTCGCCAGCTCGATCCCGGCGCCCGCGCATTTTTGCCATTTTTTTCGTTCGGGAGCGTGCACCGCACCGTACCGCACCGCACCGCACCGCACCGCACCGTGATTAAACGCGCAAATCCACCGGATCATGGCCGTGCGCCGCTTCGTCGTGCGCGCTAGCTCCGATGTCGAGTAGGAGCCGCGGTCGCTGGTTCGATCCCGGCGCCGGTGCGTAGTTATGTCCTTTTTTACGTTGCGGCTCGCTGGCTTCGTCGCCCGGCGCCTGCTTTCTTCTATTTTTCGTTCGGGAGCGCTGCCTTCATCGTCTCGTGGTTCGTTTTTCGCGTCGTCGTCGTTTATTGTTCTTTTCTTTTCATTCTGGACTGGACCGTGCACCGCACCGCGTCGTCCCGGACTGCACCGCTCCACGCCTGGGCCCGCGCAATGCGCCCCCGAGCAACACCCTGCACCGCTTCGGTGTCCGCGCCGCACCGCACTGCACCGCGTTGCACCGCACCGCGCCACACTGCGTGTGGCAGTGCATCACACCGCACCGCACCACACCTGTACCCGCGCAATGCACCCCGGAGCATCGAAGCTCACCGCTTCTGGTGTGCGCTAGCTCCGACACTGATTGGGAACCGCGGTCGCCGGCTCGATCCCGGTGCATGAATTGTTGTTGTTTTTTTTTCGGGACCGCGCACCGCACCGCACCGCACCGCGATTTAACGCGCAAATCGCAAAACGGGGATCCTCA